CCAACAAAATCGACAGTCTTTCGAAACAGTGTTTGAGATATGTAAATGAGCCTACTGTGACATGAATACACGCTAAAGGCCTACTAGTAAGTGATATTTGTGAATGAAAAGTTGTTTGACATAATTATCTGAATGAAATTTTGACTCATATCCATACCAATTACAGTAGTCTGTGTACATTTGTGTACCCAATCCAAATACTAATACTATTACCATCTATGCGAAGAAAAGTATGATTATTAACAATTATGATTCTTTTTTGCATTCTGGAACTCATTTATATTTCACTCATAAGCTTCCTGTCGAACTGCACACAACTTGTTCCAAAAGTCTCCCAGATGCAGGCACACATCTAAGACACTAAACAATAATGATAATAATAATAATAGCTCACATTTATAATGCGCCTAATACTACGTTTCTAGGCGCGGAACATATTATTACCCCGGTCATCGGATTCAGGCTTACCCGCGCACAATAAAGGCATACACATTAAGACACCACCCCCCTTTATTCTGAATGGAAATGGAAATAGACTTTTATGGATTTTTTCGCGGAATGATCAAGCTTCTGCTTACAAATTGATTTTTTTAGAAAGGTTGAACAATTTTAGATCATTTTGTAAGGGGTTCATGTAGTTGTTACCTGTAATAGAATGTATAATAACTGTACAGGTACATGTAATGTCACTTGATTTGAGAGTAGCTATACTGATAAAGCAAGAAGTGCTCATGACTACCTCTTTCAAATTATGTTTGTTAGTTCAGGTAAAGCAATGGTGCCTCTTCCAATTCAAGATCAATACTCTACCTTCTCAAGTGGAAATAAAAGTGCTTGAATTACTACATATTTGTTGAGAAATCTTAAGTGAAATTGCTAAAATTTGATGTTTATAAAACAGATGGGTTTATGAAAAGGAGTGTACATGTACTCTGTGGTTCATTAATGTTAATCTCCAAGTGAAATCACGTTTTTGTTCAGTTTTGTTAGACTTTAGTTGAATCTCGTTGTTCAGTGGAATAAGTACAATTTACTTTTTACAACAGTAGGACAACATGTACAAAAGGAGTTAATGAAAGAGAGTTCATGTGTAAAGGATTGGAGATGGAGATGAAATGCACATTGTAGTTTAATTTTGGCATGAGTGTTGAGTTATTCATACTGACATAACAATAGTCAAGTATGGCTATTGTGGTGATATAATTTATTTTCGGGGTGGTCAGTAATCCGTGATCCTATTTTAATGAGCGACATATCATACTACCTAAAAAAATATCAATGATCACAACAACAGCATTTTCCCCTGGTTGTTTAATTATTCAAAGCTTAAATATTGTTTTTTATACTATGAGTAAGCTTGAATAATTTATTTAATCTTTTTGTTAACACTTGCATATTTCAAAATTTCATTTATGAAAGGTAGAGTTTCTCACATTTCTTGGTTTAATTGATGCAGTCTGCTACAAATTACATTCGTATCAAGGCATTAATGAAAATTATCATTGCACAATTAAAACAATTAGTTTCTCTGTCATATTTGTTTCAATCTATTCGTTTTTGTTTCATTTGCATTGAGGCAGTCTGCTTGTTTAAATGTAGTTTGTCCAGCTCAATGTAGGGATTTGTTGACCAAAAGTGGACAATTCGGCTAGCCTTAGTGAGTGGATGAGTGACGGAATGAACTAGTTGATTAATTGAATGAATGAAAATATGAATGAATTATTCCAAAGATGGGTGATTGAGTAGATAGATGAACGAATAAGTGAATGAATGGATGAATGAATAAATGATGATAAACGAATACATGAATGAATGACCGAATGAATGAATGCATGCATGAGTGAACAAGTGGCTGATTGAATGAGTGAAAAATGAATTAATCAATCATTCAGAGAACTATTCAAACGAAGATTGAATACAAATGTAACAATTAAGTGATTGATATAAAGATTAAAATCGTGATCTTAATCACATATTTGGGGGAAAACACCCAAGAAAACATGAACATGTTCTCTACCACATCTCCAAAGGTGCGCCCCATTACGCAGGGTAAAGTTTCTCATGACATACATGTAAATGAGAGAGAGAGAGAGAGAGATACACTTCTCATCCGCCGGGCCTGCGAATTAAGGGCAAAATTGACAAAAATGATAAGAACTAGAAATGCAATCGTGTCACAACGATGTGCGTGCAATGACGCCATGTTTCTACGTGTCAAACGAAGGAGCTACTCTCGGACTATCCAGAGCAATATGAAAGAAGTCTGTAGCTTCTGTGATAGTGGAGATAGGGCGAAAGAAAGGTCACCAAAACGGCCCGAAACGGAAAAATTGGTGCCTGGACGGTCACGCATGAGGGTTTCCGGAGAACGAAGAATTTAGTGACCTTGAAGGAATGCTAGAGACTACGCCTACGAATTTTGAAGGGAATTGGAGTAGAGGAAGGGATCTAGAAAGGGCTCGCAAGCACTGCGTGCAAAACCAATATGACTTGGTGCATGATGAACATGTTACGACGCGTGCTTTGGCACGAACGGCCGCCCATACTAACACAACCGAATAACAGTCTTAACAAATGACGTCATGGAAACTCGGCGGAATTCGTACTTGTTCAAATGTGATTTACTCACAATTTTGTGCGTGAACATATACCATACTTGGTATCATTCGAAAGGGCACTTCAGTGCGGTCAGTTTGACACCATTGTCATCTGCGCAAAACGTACTGCACGCATCAAACGCGCTAATACGTAAAGCATAGTAAATTCATCATTTTTGGCGATAACTTGGCGAATAGGGCATTACAATTTACCAAACTTAGCAGACAGTTGCCACGTATATGGATACATGTGTCTGCCAAGTTTCATTGATGTAGGTATAAAGATCGCCGGTTTAGAGCAAGTTGAAGTTATTTCTCAATTTTCTTGAAAATGGCGAATTTGGAGGGCAATTTTCTCATATTTGGTCAGTTATAGGGTATATAATTTTGTATATGGCTGGAAAGGGCATATCTTCAAGTATCTAAATCCAAAAAAGGGTACGGGTTTGCCAAGCCATTATGGAGATACGGCCACAGAGAGAAAGCCAATTCCCAGAACTTTAGAGGGCGCTATTTATGTTTTGCATAGTCATTGGAGCATGAAATTTGGCATGGCTATGTGCAATTATGAGATAAGGATAATGTGAGATTTAAACACAAAACGGAATTTATATGAGAAAGTTATGGCAGTTTTAGATTTTTAGGGGTCCATTTTTTAAGAATTTGAGAGATTTTTGACGCAGTCAGTTTCAGATTTGAATTTTGAGTACGAAGATGGCATTTTGAAGGTCAGGTTATACGTCGCAGATGAAAGAACATCTCTTAGACTATCTAGAGAAATTTGTTAGAAATGTGTAGGATCTAGGATAGTGGAGATAGGAAGGAAGATAGAAAGGCCTTAAAATGGACCAGAAACGGACAAAATGGCGCCTGGACGGTTATGCATGAGTGATTTCGAAAATCGAAAAAGTAGGTGACCTTGATGAGATGCTAGAGACTATGCCTATGAAATTTGAAATGAAAAGGACATGAGGAAAGCACCTAACTAGGAATCACAAGCACCATGTGTAAAACGAATGCGATTTTCTGACGAGGAATATAATTATAAGGAGGAGAATATTAATGGGGCAGAATGTGAACGAAAACAAGGCAATGACGAAGGTTCGTCATTGCAATTATAATCAAAGAAACCGCTACAGAAGAAGGCTCTGAATAAACGATGGATTGTATCACATCGTTTTCGGATATGGTCGTAAAACAGGAGAAAGCGATGAGCGTCCAAGTGTCGTGTATAAGGGTGTTTCGTGTGTGTGCGTGTGCGTGCATGTAGGCGGGTTGAATTTGGTTTTACATACGTGTGCCAATCAGACATGATCAATTGTGTCTCGGGACCGAAGTCTATGACAATTGCAGTCACAAAATCATAATAGTCACGTTTATGAAACTGGTCACAACAAGGGGTTATTTAAGATGGGTTCAGCATAAAACAAATCTTGGTTACGCAAAGAAATTCTCACCTAAAAATGTTTTTAGGTACTCCTCCAACGTAAAGAAAAGAAAAGTGAAGAAGAGGAGAAAAGGCACCAGTGAAAACCATAACAGGGTAAAGTCATACATCTATCAAAGTTGTTCGGCAAAAACGTTTAAATTGTGGTGTATTAACAATCTTTCTATATCGAGTAAGTAAGATTTGCTAGTTGTTTACATCGAAATCACACCTATAAACTAGAATTAACTTTTGATTTTCAAACCAGTGTAGCTCTTTATCCATAAATATATCAAAAATAACCACCTCTCTCTCTCTCTCTCTCTTTTCTCCCTCTCGCTGTCTTTCTAAAATGCTCGTTTTGTCCGTCACTGAATAAGCTCCACTTTATAGTATATACAATACTCTCGTACTAGCTAGTTCGGACCAGGTATATGATTTGCATCACAAATAGTTTTTTCCAATAAATATGTTTTAAAGACCGTCACTACTACTGGGCCAGAAGGGATTAGACCACACAGCGAGGTCACTGACAGGTGGCTATCTCATTAACTCAGCTCTCAATATCGATCGACCTTTCTGTACTTTACTTTCCCTTCTACCTTTCACTATCTAAGTCATGGTATTTTGTCCGTTGATTCTACATGTGACTAGGATTATGGGTAATAACATTTTTCTGCACACGTAATATGTATTACGATTCATTTCCGGGGCAATTGTTTTCTGAGCACTGCGTGTTTCGACATAGTGTCAATGACAGATTCGTCATTTAATGGACAACAGCCTTCCTGTTTCTTTCTGATCGTGCGAAATGAAATTATTTCAACGTCGTTTTTGTTTCTTGATGACACGTTCAAGAACAACCTTTAGAGTGAGTTTTTATCCGTTACTTTAACTGAAATCAGAACAAGATTGTTGTGAATCCTTGGTAGCTAGCTGGGATGCATTCAGTTAACACAATCAACACTGCTGATTAGGGAAAGACTGAAGGCCTCGCGCATTTCGTCGTCTGTTTCGGACATAAGGCAAACGGTAAGCTTCCACTTGAAAATTCTCATGAGAATATCAAGCATAACGATAACTTATTTTTGAGCAAATGAGTAGGATAACGGACAAAGACAACATTTTAAAGTGTAAATCTAAATTCCGTTGTGTTTTGTATTTGAAGTAGTATTCCAATACTAAAGATGTTCAACCAATTAGATTAGATGAATCCAATTACTTGAACAATTTCCATGCGAATGTGCCCTTGCCAGAATTCTTTTAAGCTGGCTACCATGGCAAATTGTGTATCTAACAAGAAAACCCAACGAGTTCTTCGATTCTTGTAGTATGCCAATTAGATTCAAATAACTTTAAACATGACTTTCTTTTTAAAAAAAAGAAACAAAATCACGTGTGGGTTTGATAAATGCAGTAACATTTTTTGCCAAAATGTCCTACCTTTGAGTTTTAGTATTTTGTATACCACAATCGCTTCATATTTGATCTGTTGGTACTACTAAATTATGATAAATGGAATAGAGATTACTAATAAGGTCCGTACATATTCCATTAAAGGTGTCAAGCCAAAGCGGACAAAAATGTCTGTTACCTTACCTTTAAAGCTCTGACAAGTGCCTAGTATACTACTTTCAAAACTATTATACATGTTTTAGAGTGTGAATATAAGCTTCAGTTAACACTTGAACCAGATTCATCGAACACTGTGACACCATCAGTGGTGTACGCAGGAGTTTTTTAAGGGGAGGGTTTTACAATTTGAAAATCGCGCCGACCGATATTTCGCTCAATGGGGGGGGGGGGGGGGGGGGGGGGGCCTTTGGCACACACACACACTCACAAATCAAAAATAAGTATTTACTTTTATTTTTTACTTTAACAATTTTGAGGGGGGGGGGGTTAACCCACAACCCCCCCCCCCCCCCCCCCCCCCCTGCGTACGCGCCTGGACACTATCATCGGAAGTATATTGAGTTCAAGCCAACAAAAGATGGTACTCAACTTTGCCCATAGGACGGGTATGAATGTTGATTAATATGAGTCATATCCGTAAATACTAAGACCACATTCTCACTCACTTCCTGGGCCCTGTTTCATAAAACTTGATATCAATAACAAGTTACAAGCTACTGTTATAAGCTACTGAAATCAAGGCATATGATTGGCTGAGAGCAAATTTATCATAGAAATTAAGCATTTGTTATAGATAAAAAGTTTTATGAAACGGGGCCCTGGACCGATGTACGCTAGATCGAATAGAATATCTTTTTCGTAAAAGGTAATGAACATGTTTAAAAGTCAGTAAAAAGTTACATCATGTATCTTTTTAAAGTTTCACTATTAACCACTGTAATAAAGCAAAAGGGCGTAAGGGTGAATTGTGTTAAGAATATTTCGTGGGTGAATTAAATACAATCTTTGTGGTAAAGTAGGTCTCCAATCTCGAAACTTAACTGTTTTAGAGATATGAGGAGGTACTTTATACACCTTTTCACAAAAAGCATTTGTTGCATTCACGAGAAAGTGAGTTTCTCAAGATACGTTTCAATTTGTCAAACAATGTTTGGCAGCAATTAAGCAAATAAGGCGTATCTTTTTCTCTGTGTGTACATGGGCAAAAATGTCGTCGAACAATTGAAAAAGATTTTTTTAAATATTTAAAACAAATAATAATATCTCAATATGTGGCCAATTTAAGGATTAAGGAGCTTATTTTCCTGTCATCAAATGCGATATAGTTATGAAAGTTAAAGGATGCAGTGTGTACAACAATTTTTGGCTTTTTCTGCTCATGCACCTGGCGTACTTGTTATGGCTCCACTTCAACAGTTATTGAGCCAACGTCACAAATGTAGAAACGGAAACATTAATTGTATGGTGGACGGTGTGATAATAGTTCGCAATTGACTTTTATTCGCGGACAGTTCCCTGTGGATTGATGTCGGTAAGATATGAAATATCTGATACCACTGATGGAAAGAGGAACCTAAAACTACCCAGATAAATCTTTCTTTGGAATTGGGTTTGAAAGTATGAAAATATTGGGAAAAGATCAGCAGATTTTGCTGTCTTTTGCGCCCGTTTCGATATTAATTTTGAACTTACCGACAAAAGGGTGCAGGAATCTTCATATCGAGAGGAGATGTCAACAAAATTGTAAAATAAGAGGTGATACCAACTGCAATTATCTTTTTTTTTTTGATGAATTGCTTATGTAGCTGTTAGGAAATCAGCTGTAAACTCCTGTGCCCGAGTTTAGGTCTCGTTTTGTAATGACTCTTTGGCAGTTGCAGCGCATGTCTATCTGACATCGAATTTGGAGATCTCGATATCTATGAAATCTTTTGCTGATAAATATTCTAGTTCCACCAATCGTAGTCGAAATCTTTGACGTATATTTGGTTATAATTGAACTATATAAAGTTGTGTACAATTATGAGAAATAATAATAATCATATTTAATTTGTATATAGCGCTTAATACATATCTCTAAGCACTTTACAAATATACTATTACCACGGTCATTGGATTCAGTGCTTGCCCGCACACAATGTGTGCACAATCTCCACTCCATGGGGAGCATTCCAGCCAGGCGTTACATGACGCTCAAAAACTGTTTGACCAGCAATGATTGTCGCATCCTACCGGATACCCATTTAACACCTGGGTGGAGAGTAGCAAGTGCAGGTTAATATCTTGCCAAAGGATATTAGTGCCGTGTCGGGATTCGAACCCTCGGCCTTCGCATCTCCAAGTCAAGCGCCTTAAACCACTCGACCACGACACTCATGGCTCGAATATTATATTTCCTTTAAAACGTGATTAAATCCCTGCGAAATTTGGTCACCCCATCATAGGACTATGAGTTATGAATATAATGTCTACCATTTTCTTCTTGTACGTGTATGTCTAATAATATCCCATGCAGTGTGAAAACCACTCATAACGAGGACATTTGGACTGTAAACAGTGCCTTGTTATAATTATGAGGGTGAAAACAAACAACGAAAGACTTTAATGAGCGGGGGCTAGCATAAATACTTTGTCATATCAGGGCCCTGTTTCGTATGAATTGGAATAGATAACAAATGCTGCATTTCTATGGCAAATTTGCCCTCTAACAATTAAATGCCTGTAAAAGCTTATAAGAGATTTTGTAACTTGTTTTTGATAACAAGTTTGAAATAGGTCCCTGGTATCCCCTGATAGCAGACTGACGTCTTAAAGACGTCATAAATTGGTCGTAAAGTGGTAAACACGTCGTACGTCGTATGGACGACGTAATTATGACGTCATTATGACGTCTTCAAAAGACTATTTTTTCCAAGATAATTTTTGTCGCATTGACGACGTCATAACGACGTCATAATGACGTCTTTAAAGGACTAATTTTTTCAAGATATTTTTTGTCTTCTCGACGACGTCATAATGACGTCTTTAAAAGACTCTTTTTTCCAAGATAATTTTTGTCGTATTAACGACGTGATAACGACGTCATAATGACGTCTTTAAAGGACTAATTTTTTCAAGATATTTTTTGTCTTCTCGACGACGTCATTATGACGTCTTTAAAAGACTATTTTTTCCAAGATAATTTTTGTCGTATTAACGACGTCATAAAGACGTCATTTTGACGTCTTTAAAAGACTATTTTTTCCAAGCTAATTTTTGTCGTATCGACGACGTCATTATGACGTCTTTAAAAGACTAATTTTTCCAATGTAATGTTGTCGTATTGACGACGTGCTAACGACGTCATTATGACGACTTTAAAAGACTTATTTTTCCAATGTAATGTTGTCGTATTGACGACGTGATAACGACGTCATTATGATGTCTTTAAAAGACTATTTTTTCCAAGCTAATTTTTGTCGTATCGACGACGTCATTATGACGTCTTTAAAAGACTAATTTTTCCAATGTAATGTTGTCGTATTGACGACGTGCTAACGACGTCATTATGACGACTTTAAAAGACTTATTTTTCCAATGTAATGTTGTCGTATTGACGACGTGCTAACGACGTCATTATGACGACTTTAAAAGACTTATTTTTCCAATGTAATGTTGTCGTATTGACGACGTGATAACGACGTCATTATGACGTCTTTAAAAGACTAATTTTTTCCAATGTAATTTTTGTCGTATTGACGACGTCATTACGACGTCATTATGACCTCTTTAAAATACTATTTTTTCCAAGATACTTGTTGTCGTATCGACGACGTCATTACGACGTCTTTAAAAGACTATTTTTTCCAATATATTTTTTGTCGTATTGACGACGTCATTACGACGTCATTATGACCTCTTTTAAATACTATTTTTCCAAGATATTTTTTGTCGTAAGGACGACGTTATAACGACGTCATTATGACGTCTCTAATAACCTAATCATTTCCAAGATAATAATCGGGTAAAGACTACAACATCTAATATGAGCATAAGTCAAAGTAAATAGGGCAATTATCAGAATTGAAATTAGGGAACAACTCCCCCCCCCCCCCCCCCCCCCTCAAATGTCATTAGTCGATATAGATTGTGCAACATCTTAACACGCACCAAGGTCTGCAATATCGATCAAGACTAAACATGCTCGCATCTAGTTCAAACGGGAGTGTGTACGTGTGTGTACAGATGCATAGTACTCAAGGCATGCAAGGCGTAGGACTACATGCACTATGCGATGTGTATGTAATGTATTTGAATTCAGAGTAAAAAAGCCGTTGCATCAAGTATCATCCTCCTGAATACTCTCGTTTTCTCCTGCAAATTTACAGTATGGGTAAGTCCTAGAATTACCTAATTTATTTACAAAAAGTACATAAATCTATAGTTACTGTTTTTTGTTCTGAAAAGTTGATATGTAGACTCAATGTATGATCTTATGTCACTATAATGTCAGTGATAGTGAGCTCGGACTTTCAACACTTGGTGACAAGATTTGGAATGTATGATCCCATATATGTATTTTTATGTAGGGTCTTGATTGAAGGTATGCATGGCATGGGGCATCATTTAAAGCAAAA